AATAGCACTTAGACTTATATACCGCTTCACAGTGCTTTTATAACACACTCTTAACAGTTTAAGGAGACAGCACATTAGCCCCCAACAATCTGAATCCTCATTTTACCGACCTCAGGAGGATGGAAGGCTGAGTCAACCTTGAGCCAGTCAGGATCGAACTGCTGACAGCTGGCAGAGTTTTCCTGCCATACCTCATTCTAACCACTGTGCTTCTATTGGCTTATTTGCACAGAGTTTATATCCCGATGATGTCAGCGAGAGCCTCTGTGTAATAACGCTGGTGATACTAGAGAAATTATAGAGACAGAACTCAAGATTCAAGACCATAGACCCAACCTAGAACAGCTTGACTCCATCCACGCATGTGCTTGGGCTTGAAAATATGCCTAAATGGGACGGCATAGAGCTGGGGCGGGTAGGCGGGCCACCCACAATATCTACTATCGGTCCAAAACTGGCAGAATGCCACCTCTGTGTTTAACGGTTCCTTACTCAGCACCGTCACGCCAGTGACTATCCTGACATTGCCTCTCCTTCGACCACAGGGCCGCGTGAACATGCCAGACGTATCAGCCGAGACCGTATTTGATGTCCTCCATGACACCGAATACCGGAAGAAGTGGGACTTGAATGTTATAGAGACCCACGAGATCGCCCGGCTCTCTGACAACGCTGATGTGGGCTATTATTCTTGTGAGTAAGGACTTAGAGAAGATTTCGTGATATTAGGGACATCCCGTTCTTAACAAGCACACAGCAGGATTTGATTCTTAGTTTTTGGCATCCGGGTTAAAAACCTGGTAGGGAGAGAGTTTCGACCAAATTAGGGGGGAAATTGTCAAGCTTTAGACCTTTTTTTTAAAACTGGTGCCTTTGAGTCAGTCTTGACTCCTGGAAACTGTCGACCCGTGATGGCAAACCTATGGCATGTATGCCAGAGGTGGCACACGGAGCCCTCTCTGCGGGCATACCAGCTGTCGCCCCAGCCCAGCTCCACCACACATGCTACCGTACCTCCTGCCGGCCATCTTTTTTGGGGGTCTCTGCCGTACATGCAGGGGGTGGGGGTACATGGGGGAGATGCATGGGGGGGCGCGGGGTGAGCATGGGTGGTCACATATGCATGTGGGAGGGAGACACACATGGGGGTGTCGTGTGTGCATGCACGGGATCGCATGTGCAGGTGGCAGGGCTCCTGCGTGGGGCGTGCACATATGGGGGGGAGTGCAGGGGGTCACACATGCATGCATGAGGTTGGGGCGCACACGGGGGTCGCATGCAAATGCATGGGGGGGCAGTGCACTTGTGTATTGCATCAGGGGTGCATAATACGCTTTCGGCACACCGCGACAAAAAGGTTAGCCATCACTGGTCTAGACTCTAGACAGCTTTACATTTTTCTTGGCAAGGTATTTGGGGTGTGGTTTGCCATTGCCTGTTTCCAAGGGCTGAGAGAGAGCGACTGGCCCAACATCCCCCCCCCNTGCTCTCTGAGCCTGGTTGCTTTCTTGCAGCACTGATGATGTTACCTAGTTTGGGTAATGAAACGTCTGCAAGGAAACCACCAAGCCCGAAAGTAAAACAATATTGGAATAGATTAAGAAAATGGCTTGAAGAAATAACCAAGCAGCAAATAAACGTGAAACTGGAATTATTTTTATTGGGAATATTGACAGGAAAATTTATGGGGCGGGGAAACCCACAATATCTAATTTTACACATTATAACGGCAGCCTGAATTATGTATGCACAAAAATGGAAGGATAATTTTGCTCCATCAGAGGAAGAGGTGATGAGGAGTGTGCAGAGATAGGTAGCCTCACAAAAGAGATCAAAGATAAAGGAGAAACAGATTGTTCTCAGGTATGGAATGAATGGTATAAATGGCTAGAAGACAGGTGTAAAGTTTGAGGAAAGATTGAACGAAGAATATATAGGAGTTAGAAATTAATAGGTATGCATGGAAACGACACACAACTAATGACTTGTAACTCAAGAAATGAATATATTTGTATGTATAAAAACACTGGAATTACATGTATAGATAATGGCATATTGGAGTAGCGGGTGGGGGTGGGGGATGCAGATATAATGGATGTATACCAATATGGATTGTTGTATAGAAGGCAACTATTAAAGTTGTTTCTTTTTTGTTTTAAAAAGCTGTGTAATAAAAAAATATTTAAAAAATAAAAACCAAGCTCAGAGAGCACCAAGGAGCCTACAGTCCTCCTCCTCCTCCTCCTCTCCCACTCCCTTCTAGCACTGATGATGTTACCTAGTTTGGTTAATGAAACATCTGCAAGGAAAAAACCAAGCTCAGAGAGCTCTCAAAGTCATTGCTTGCTATAGGTAGCAGAGCTCTGCAGAGAGATCAATTCTGAAACTTAAATCAAGATTTTTGAGTAAGGCTAGGCGTGCACTTTGTACCAGTTGGGAGGAATTTTTATGTTTGTTAAATATGTTTTATAGTGGAATGTAAACAACTGCCTTAAAAACATAGCAATTGCACAGTGAGAAAAGAATTTATGTACATTGTGGGTATCCTAAGGGACTTTTTCGAAAGGACTTTGTTTTTCCTTGAAAAGGTTTCACTTTTCATCCCAAGAAACTTCTGCAATTCTACATTGTGGATAGTTAAAATAGACGAAATCTAACACAAGGGGGAAAATATAATGTATGACTAATACCAATATGGAATTCCATCTGATGCTTTCCAGATCTTGTGAAAAACATATTTCTTCAATTTATCATCTTTAGATCATATCTCGAATCCACTGCTTGATATCCAGGATAAAAGTCTTTCTATTTATTACATCAATTATTTCTTTTCCAAAGATCTTCGTACAAGAATGCAGTTCATATCTTAGAAACAGACTTTGACATCACATTTATACTGTATCTAGTCTATTTCTATCTCCAAGATTGCATATATATAAGTAGTCCTCAACATATGGCCACAATTTAGCCCAAAGTTTATGTTACTAAGTGAGAAATTTGTTAAGTGAGTTTTGCCCCATTTTATGACTTTTCTCATCACATTTGTAAAGCGAATCACTGCTGTTCTTAAACCGTAACACAGTTGTAAAGTGAACCTCGTCTCCCCATTAACTTTGCTTGTCAGAAGGTTGTAAAAGGAGATCACATGACTCCAGGACACTGCGACCGTTATAAATGTGAGTCGCGTGACCATGGAGATGCTACAATGGTCATACCTGTGAAAAACTATTATAAGTCCCTTTTTTTTCAGTGCTGTTGTAACTTTGAACCATCGCTAAATGAACTGTTGTAAGTCAAGGACTACCTGTATATGCTATGATTTGAAAGCAAGACAAGACCAAATCATATGAATAGGAGCACCTTAAAGCAGATGTTTTTATAGATTTGGAAGAGTTGGAAGGGGCCTTGTAGATCATTAGTCCAATCTCCCCTGCTCAAGCAGGAGACACCGTTTATGACCAATGGCCTTCCAATCTCTTCTTGAAAGCCTCCAGGGATGAAGCTTCCACAACTTCTGAAGGCAACTTCTGTTCCATTGGTTGATTGTTCTCAGGCAGGAGTTTTCTCCTTATTTCTTGATTGAATCTCTCCTTCATCAGTTTCCATCCATTGTTCCTTGTCTGGCCTTCAGATGCTTTGGAAAATAGCTTGAGCCCCTCATCTCTGTGGCAGCCCCTCAAATATTGGAAGATGCTATTTTGTCTCCCCTGGTCCTTCTCTTCACTAGACTAGCCATGCCCAGTTCTTGCAACCGTTATTCATATGTTAGATCTCCAGTCCTCTAATCATCTTGGTTGCTCTTCTCTGTAAGTCAGTCAAGGATTTTAAGTCAAAGACTACCTGTATATTTATTTATTTATTTTATTGAATGTAATATTGCCGCCTATTCGCCCATGGCAACTCAAGGCGACTTACAGAATATAAAGCCACATTTAAAACAATACAAAACCAACAAAAAGAATCAAATAAATTAATAAAATACAAAATCACCCCATCCCCACCCCTGGCGACAGCAGATGAGCACACGAGCCATTTAAAGGGCTCTATCCCGCTCTGGGTTCCCCAGGCCCACTGGCAGAACCAGGTCTTCAGTGCCTTGCAGAAGAATGTTAGAGTGGGGGCCATCCTAATCTCTGTGGGAATGATGTTCCAGGGAGAGAGAGCCACCACGGAGAAGGCCCTTCTTCTGGGTCCCACCAGATGTGTCTCCCTGGGGGATGGGACCCACAGCGTTCCCTACCTCCCTGCTCTGGTGGGTCGGGTAGATGTGACCAGCAGGAGACGGTCCCTCAGATAACCTGGTCCCAAGCTATATGCTAGGATTGAAAGCAAGACAAGACCAAATCATATAAGTAAAGATAAAGGTTCCCCTTGCACATATGTGCTAGTCGTTCCCGACTCCAGAGGGTGCTCATCTCCATTTCAAAGCTGAAGAGCCAGCTCTGTCCGAAGCCGTCTCCGTAGTCATGTGGCCAGCAGGACTAAACTAAACGCCGAAGGTGCACGGAACGCTGTTCCCTTCCCACCAAAGGTGGTTCCTACTTTTCTACTTGCATTTTTTACGTGTTTTCAAACTGCTAGATTGACAGAAGCTGGGACAAGTAACGGGAGCTCACTCGGTTACGCAACATTAGGGATTCGAACTGATCGACATGCTCAGTGACTTAGCCCCTGAGCTACTCATATGAAGAGGCGCACCTTAAAGCAAAAGCTACCCTTCATAGTTGAGATGAGACATGTTGGATTTGGCGGTTTCTGGATACGTTCTCTATGCGTATGTTTTGAATCGCATTTTGCTCATGGAATCCAGATTTCTGTACAGCAGTAACAAGCAGAGCCTGTTAATCCTCCAATTTCCTAACCTTCCTTTATTCACTTACACTTGATTTACAGGAAAATCCAGTTAAAAAAAAATCCCTGTGGCAGCAAGGACATAGTTCAGACACCAGAAAGTCGTAGATTACCCCTGCCCTAAAAATTCTCCTTTTTGCGGGCTCTTCTAATTCTAATCATTCCACAAAGAAGGCAATTCCCTCTTTCAATTGTTGCTCTTGAATTCTTTTTAGGTTACAAGTAGGTGAGCGTGATGAGAAATGTCCTTGATGGGACATGACATGCCGGGTTGTTGAGTAATCCATGGGGAACCTAGATTCGCTCCTCGCTCTGAAGCCAAACGAAGTCACTGTTTTACTAGCTAACCAGGAAGTTGGCCAACAGAGATCAATGATTTACAAAGAAGTGGTGTCGAAAGAGCTTCGGAGCTCCTACGGTAGTTTGTCTCAAACGTAGAGAAATAGCAGGAAAAGCTCGGGGGTGAAAGTCGGCAGGTTCTGACAGGTTCTGGGGAACCGGTAACGGAAATTTTGAGTATGGGGATTCTGCAGTGGTCGTAAGGATGAAAAAGTCCACGCTCTTCCTCAACCACAGAAGTTCCTTGGATGATCTTGGCCCAGTCATGCTCTTGTCAGCTGAATCTCCCTTACAAAGAGAACCAAAATAGGTCTCATCCTGCATTTAGATATAAACGTATATAGCAAATAAAGATACCCTAGTCTGTTGTATTTGTNTCTTTGTTGCTCTTCCCTGCACTCTTTCTAGAGTCTCAACATCTTTTTTACATCGTGGCGACCAAAACTGGATGCAGTGTTCCAAGTGTGGTCCTACCTTACATTTCAAAAAATTTAA